CCAAAGAGGTAAAGGATCTGTACTCTAGAAACTACAGAACACTTATGAAAGAAATTGAGGAAGACACAAAGAAATGGAAAAACATTCCAGGCTCATGGATTGGAAGAATAAATATTGTTAAAATATCTATGCTACCCAGAGCAATCTACACATTCAGTACAATCCCTATCAAAATACCATCTACATTTCTCAGAGAACTGGAACAAACAATCCTAAAATTTGTATGGAACCAGAAAAGACCCCGAATAGCCAGAGGAATGTTGAAAAAGAAAACCAAAGCTGATGACATCAAAATGCCTGACTTCAAGCTATATGACAAAGCTGTAATCATCAAGACAGCATGGTACTGGCACAAAGCAGACACAGAGATCAATGGGACAGAGTAGAGACCCCAGAGATGGACCCTCAACCCTATGGTCAATTAATCTTCAACAAAGCAGGAAAAAATATCCAATGGAAAAAAGACAGTCTCTTTAAGAAATGGTGTTGCGAAAATTGGACAGCCACATGTAGAAGAATGAAACTGGACCATTTTCTTACCCCATACACAAACATAAACTCAAAGTGGATGAAGGACTTAATGGTGAGCAGGCATCATCAAAATCCTAGAAGAGAACACAGGCAGAAACCTCCTCAACCTTGGCCACAGCAACTTCTTGCTAGACACATCTCCAAAGGCAAGGGAAACAATAGCAAAAATGAACTATTGGGACTTCATCAAGATAAAAAGCTTCTGCAGAGTGAAGGAAACAACCAACAAAACTAAAAGGCAGCCTATGAATGGGAGAACATATTTGCAAAAAACATCTCGAATAAAGGATTAGTAACCAAAATCTACAAAGACCTTACCAAACTTAACACCCAAAAAACAACCAAGTTAAGAAATGGGCAGAAGACATAAATAGACACCTTTTCCAAAGAAGACATCCAGATGGCCAACAGACACATGAAAAGATGCTCAACATCAGTCATCCTCAGGGAAATACAAATCAAAACCACAATGAGATACCACCTCATACCTGTTCAGAATAGCTAAAATTAACAACACAAACTACAGGTGTTGGCAAGGATGTGGCAAAAGGGGAACCCTCTTAACACTGTTGGTGGGAATGTCAACTGGTACAGCCACTCTGGAGAACAGTATGGAGGTTCCTCCAGAAGTTAAAAATAGAACTACCCCACCATCCAGCAATTGCAGTACTAGGTATTTACCCAAAGGATACTAATGTACGGATTCAAAGGGGGACATGCACCCCGATGTTTATCAACAATAGCCAAACTATGGAGAGAGCCCAAATGTCCATCAACTGATGAGCGGATAAAGATGTGGTGTGTATATATGCAATGGAAAACTACTCGGCCATCAAAAAAAATGAAATCTTGCCACTTGCAACAAGGTGGATGGAAGTAGAGTGTATTATGCTAAATGAAATAAGTTAGAGAAAGACAAATACTGTATTATCTCACTCATATGTGGAATTTAAGAACGAAAAGAGATGAACATATGGGAAGGGTGAAAGCAAAAAAAGGACGGAAGGAAACAAGCCAAGAGACTCAACAATAGAGAACAAACTGAGGGCTTACGGAGTCAGGTGGGTGGGGGATGGGCTAAATGGGTGATGGGTATTAAGGAAGGCACTTGTTATGATGAGCACTGGATGTTGTATGTAAGTGATGAATCACTGAATTGTACTCCAGAAACTAATATTGCACAGAATGTTAACTACCTAAAATTTAAATTTAGAAAAGAATTTACTAATTTATTAAAATGGGAAGCCAACCTTACACTTTATATTTTGGCTAACAGGAAAGAAAATGTTAACACACAACGCAGTGTAGTAAATAGTTTCATCAGTATCTCATTTACAACTGAATTTTACATTTGAGTGGCATTTCTACTGCTGCAGAGATAAAATCTTCTGGCTTAAAAAAAAAAAAATCTTCGTGGCGCCTGGGTGGCTCAGTTGGTTAAGCAGCTGCCTTCGGCTCAGGTCATGATCCCGGGGTCCTGGGATCGAGCCCTGCATCAGGCTCCCTGCTCAGCGGAGAGCCTGCTTCTCCCTCTCCCTCTGCCTGCCTCTCTGCCTACTTGGACTCTCTCTCTCTGTCAAATAAATAAATAAAATCTTAAAGAAAAAAAAATCTTCTAGCTCCCACAATGAAATAATTCCAGTAAGGAGCACAATAAATATTCCACTGTATCTCAGGTCATTTTGGTCATTTCTCAAAAAAACCTGGCAATCCTATTAGGTCTTGCATGTCAATTCCAACTCCCATGTAAAAATAAATGCTATTTCAAACCTTTGCTATGACAAATGAATTTCCATAGACTTGTCTTTCCTCTTTCATTCATCGGATAGTTGGTAACTTATTTCACAAATGAGGTAGGTAATTTTGGAGGTAGATGCTTTCAACCATTGAAGTATTCCTGCATTCGCATCTCCTGTTTATGCCATCTTCCCGTTAACAGGTGAGGAATTACTTTTAATCTCAGTTTGGTTGTTTATATCTAACTTTATGTTTGGGTCCTGTTATTTCCTGCCATATCATGGATTTTATGTTATTACTTATAAACTAATAACTTTACTCCCTATTTGATCGATCCTCTTAGCACTTAAATATTAGGGTATCTTCCAATCTGAAATTTGAATTTAAAAAGAAAGTGTTTCTGGGCTGCTGTTATGTCTAGCTGTTGCCTTCTTGTCTCCTTTAATCCAGAGAAAGGTGGGGCCCATTCATCAGCATTTCTCTTCATCTCACACTATCTCATCCCACTCGTCTTTTTGTTTTTTTTTTCTTTTGGTCCCCATTAGTTCATGGGCATTATTCTTGCTGACATTAATTCATGGATGAGCCTCCTGAATGTTGAAAGTCCTGTACTGACAGGTCTATGCTGATAGGTGAGACTCAGTGAGGATGTCCTAGAACTGTTTGACCCTCCAGAAAAAATGTCAAAACCATGGGATAAGGCCACAGTTATTATCTTGAAAAAAATGTGTAAACTTTAGGGGCACCTGCGGGGGTAACTCAGTCAGTTAAACATCTGACTCCTGATTTCGGCTCAGGTCATGATCTCAGGGTCATGAGACTGAGCCCCACATCAGGCTCTGCACTCAGAGTGAAGTCTGCTTGAGATTCTCTCTCTCTCTCCCTCTGCTGCCCCCCCCCAACTGGAGTGGACACGTGCTCTCTCAAATCTTTTTTTAAAAGAAAAAATGTTTAAATTTTATACTTATTAAAGAAGTTTTGAAAATGAATGAACCAATTGTTCAACTTTACAAACTAAGAAAGTAAAAGGAAGCAAGAGTTTAACTGACATTTCAAGTTTTACAAAGAAGATAATTAGTAAAAGTTAAAAGATTAAATAAAAGATTAAAGAATGAAACAAGGAAACACTAAATTAAAAAGGACACATGAAAAGCTGCTTTCTCAGGCAAGATCAATCTTGAGAGTCACTCCTGAGTGCGGAGATGACTTTTAGGGCTTCCAGTCAACAGAACACTTTGCTGTACAGCAGCCACAAACAAGAAGGAATTCGCTATGTGGCAAAGACAGTCCTCTGCTGTTCGCTGAAACATTGGTGAATTCAGGAGCATTAAACTCCTTTATGAAGATCAACAGATGGATTTTTCTGCCTGTTTCTTCAGAACACACTCCTATCCTAGTGAAGCCCACACACTGTGTGGCAGCAGTGAGTATATGCACTGGACCTGTGTTCCCTTGAAAATACAGACCCCATAGTCTCTGCTAGTAGCTGCTGAGCACAGGGTCAGAGCAGACACTTCCATTTCTCCTGCTCCTGAGCTTCTCTGTCTCTCCCATTCCTGGGTCCCTGAGCCCCAAACACCACTCTTACTCCCTCTCCAGACTCCCTTCACACAGTCAACGCGCTTCTGCCTCCCTCCTCCTTGGAGAGATACTTCTGTTCTATGCTTGGTTTAAAAAAGTCTGGACTTTTTTCAAGCTATCTTGCAACCCCCTGAGGAACAGCACTGTCCTCACAGGAACGACATGGCTAGTTTGGGATAGTGTGGCAGGTTTTGCCCTTCACACCCCTACCCCAGAAACTTCAGATCATATCTCTCAATTCCTGACCAAGAGCCGCTTCTCTGTCATGGTTTTACTCACAGTCTTTATTCACAATATTTAATTCCTCTTTTCCAGAACATCCTATTAAACTATCAAAAAATATGAAATTAAGAAGACCTAATTAGTAGCACTGGAAAACACGAAAGAAGGTCAGCAACGGAAACAGCTGAGTAATTTATTCAATTATGAACAGATGGGCGCTCTTTCAACAAAGTTCCACAACAGTCCAGCATATCCTTGATCATTTCCAGAGACATGGCAAAGAGAACATAAACATACTTAACTGGGAAACAGTTCACAGCCCACTACGGTAAAAGGTCACCGAAGGGGAGAAAGATGTGCCATATTAGACTAACTGGTTAAACTAAATTTTGGCTGTTAATATAAAAAGTTAAGCCCATCGGACCCACTTCCCTCTCCTCAATTTTACCCCCGCTTTTTCTCGTCCCTCTCCTTGGCTCGGTTTCCCTGGTCCTCCCCTTGTCTCTCTCTTTCCCCTTATCCCCCCGCCCCAACTCCACATTCACAAGAAGAGAATGAACATTCCCTGCCCGGGGAAAGCACACTTTCTGGTGGCACAGCCAGTGGGCAGGGACGGGACAGAACAAGGGGTGTCAGAAGATGGGGCGGGTGAGCGCCCCAGCACGAGGCCTCCCTGAGGAGGTGGCTGCGGAGGGGCCCGAGCAGCAGCCGGGCCGACCCCGAACGACGCGTGGAGGAGAATTCAGGGCTGGGTCTACAGGATCCGACGTCAAGAGGGCGAAGCGTCCTGGTGCCGCCCCCCCGGTGCCGCGAAGGGCGAGAACGCACCTCGCGGGCGGGGACCTGACACGCGCCGGGTGCGGAGGGGAGACGGGGGAAAGAAGAGAAGCAGAAGAGTTGGGGCGGAGACGGCTTGGGAGCCAGCCTACCGGAAACAGACGCGGATCCAGACCAGCAGCACAGCGTCTCGCGACCGGGCGGGGCTCCCCGCGGGCGAGGCTGGCGGAGGTGGGGGCTGTAAGGTTCGCGAGGCCCCGGCCTCCGGGTGTGAAGGACGCAACACCGCGCGGGCAGCGACGTGCGAGCAGCGACGTGCGAGGTACAACTGGAACTGCCGGAACTCACGCCAGCGCAGACGCCCTTCCATCCGGGAAATCTGCTTCCGGGTGGGCCGGAAACGGCGAGCGCGGGTGGGGCGGGGCCTGGAGGGAAGGGTTTGTGCGAGGCGGGCGCGTGCCTCCGCCCCACCTCCAGGCCGTTTCCGGTCTGCGCGTCCTTCCGCCCCAGAGCTTGGGTGGGCGCTTTTGCGTCCTGGGGAAAGTGTAGGGTGTTCCGTGGGGCCGGGCTGCCCTGCTCGGCTTCAAGTTAATGGTTCAGGTACTCTAGGTAACAGCTTAGCGTTGGCGCCAGCAATGTGGAGTGCGGAGCTGTTTCCTTCTCAACAGTTTGAGAACGGCTTAAATAAAAAACCTTTGTGCGTGCCTGTGGGTCCGCGGGCTCGGAGGGGCGGCCCGGGTGCGGGGACCTCTGTGCGGAGATGCAGGCGGTGTGCGGGGCAGGGACGTCTGCAGCGCCACCTGTTAAATGTGTGTTTCTTTTTCGGTGGGACGAGTGTGAGCGCCGAACTCACCTGTGCGAAACCGCAGACGGTAGCTTCCGTTTGTCTTCCCTGCTCGCGGGGCGGCGGAAGGACTTCGCGGGCCCAGCATTGGCAGTGAGGATGGACGGCCGAGGCCTTGGTGTGATTGCGCACATCTGGAGAAGATGTGTAAATTCAGATACCTTTGAGCCAAATGTGCGTGACATCAGCAAATTGCCTGAGTTACTACATTTCACATTTTTCTTTATCTTTACTCCAGAGTTAACCGAGAGAACATTTTTAATTGTGAAAAGTCAGATGTTTTAATCTGCATTTTTTCTATCTCTAAATGTTTTGTGTCAAGTGTGGACAATATTAGTTTTTCATTATTTCTATATACACCTGATTGAAATGTCTGTTCGCTGACAAGAACAGTAAACACAGTAAAACTGGATTCTCAGATTTCAGTTGCCTCGTTTATACCCTTAATAAATATTAATTGTGAAATATGTAAGTGAAAATCTTCTCTATCTCCTTCATAAATTCTGAAGTTCATACTAGAGGGAATTTGGCAAAACTAAATCCCAACTACTCTTGCTGCAGAAATTTCTCAAAGATGATTCCCGAAGAAGAACTCTTCTGGTTTTCCCAAAACCTACACAAATTTCTCCAACTTTTACATTTTTTTTAAATATTAAATATCTGGACTCATAGATTTAAGTTCTGGAAGGATAATGTTCTCTTAGGGAGGGGAACAGTAAACACTGGGGATCCTATGGAGGGAGTCAGGGGAGCCCTGCCCACAGTGCCTCCAGGGCGGAGATCACTTCACCTGAGCTCACCTGACTCATCTCAGATCTGTGGGGAACTGGACACAGACTAAGGAGGGCTGTATATGATTTGGGGCCAAGGAATCCAGCTACCTGAACCTCTCCCCCATTCCGTCTTCATCCCCCTCTCTCTACATAGAAGTCAAGTGATACAGTTCTGCCAGTGTAAACCATCCAGCCTCCAACCCACTTTCTCCATCAAATCTTCTGTGTTCTGGTTTACACATAGAATGCTTCAGGAGGCTGGAAGTTGACCGAAGTGATACGTGGGTGCACGTAGGGTGCGCATTGTTTGGAAGTTCCCTATGAAAAGCCAAGCTTATAAGATGGTGACTTAGTAGACTAAGGTCTGCCCACATCTCTGAATCTCTATTTCCCTGGCTGAGAATTAGGTCCCATGAAAGCTGAGGAGTGAAAAGAAAGAGTGCATTGAAGTATAATTACTTCTATGTTTTTGTTATAGTAGTAATAAAATGAAATATTTTCCAGGCATTCCTTAGAAAAATGCCTTCACTAACAAGGCAAGAAACCACAAATGCTGGAGAGGTTGTGGAGAAAGGGGAACTCTCTTACACTGTTGTTGGGAATGCAAGTTGGTACAGCCACTTTGGAAAACAGTGTGGAGGTGCCTCAAAAATCTAAAAATAGAGCTACCCTATGACCCAGCAATTGCACTCCTGGGTATTTACCCCAAAGACACAGATGTAGTGAAAAGAAGGGCCACATGCACCCCAATGTTCATAGCAGCAATGTCCACAATAGCCAAACTGTGGAAAGAGCCGAGATGCCCTTCAACAGATGAATGGATAAAGAAGATGTGGTCTATATATACAATTGAATATTACTCAGCCATCAGAAAGGATGAATACCCAACTTTTACATCAACATGGTTGGGACTGGAGGAGATTACGCTAAGTGAAAAAGTCAAGCAGAGAAAGTTCATTATCATGTGGTTTCACTTATTTGTGGAACATAAGGAATAGCATGGAGGACATTAGGAGAAGGAAGGGAAAAATGAAGGGGGGGAAATCGGAGGGAGAGACGAACCATGAGAGACTATGGACTCTGAGAAACAAACTGAAGGTTTTAGAGGGGAGGGGAGTGGGGGGATGGGTTAGCCCAGTGATGGTTATTAAGGAGGGCACGTTCTGCATGGAGCACTGGGTGTTATATGAAAACAATGAATCATGGATCACTACATCAAAAACTAATGATGTATTGTGTGGTGACATAACAAAAAATAGAATTTTTAAAAATCATGAGAAAGTAATAAAAAAAGGAAAAAAAGAAAAATGCCTTCACTAAAGAATGAGTCCCCTTTTGAAGAACTGACACAGCCCTACATAATCATAATGACTGGAGGATGGCACTTTGAAGAGGGTCACTCTGATGGCCTGATGAGTAGGTGGAATGCATGTGTGTAAGAGAACCTGTGTTCACATCATTCCTGGGATATGATGTGAGCTGTTTCGCACAGGTGAGTTCGGCATTCACACTCGTCCCACCGAAAAAGAAACACACATTTAACAGATGGAGCTGCAGACGTCCCTGCCCCGCACACCGTCAAGTGCCCTGAATATCCTGACATCTGAGGGAGCCTCCAGCTGAGAGCAGAGTTGTGCTGTGAGTCAAACTAGGGAGCTGTTGTGGAATGAAGCGGTTTCTCTGTTGGGTTTAGGAGGGTGGAATGAAGGAGCTTGAGCTTGGAGATTCTGATTCCCCTACCTGGGGACTTGACCACATGAGAGGGTATAAAGTGTGAAGTTTGTGAATATGGTGTCCCCCGGTGCTGAGACATTTGTTTGCCTTTTGTCCTGAGATTCTGCTGAGATCTTTGGAATGCTCAGACACCATTTGTCTCATTTTTTTTCATGATGAAAATACGTTCACGTGTGGGTGTGTATATTAATACTCTAATCATGCCATGTTGAAAGTGAAGAAAGCACAACAACCCGGAGGTAGAAAAGTGGGAGATGAAGAACACAAACAATGAGTCTGTGATGAAAATCCACTCTCCAGCCATGTTCCAGGCCAGTCCCTCCAAATGGCCTTCCTGAGATCGGACAGTTAACGATGGAGCTCCAGGTTCATGACAGCTCCCTCATTCCAGCCTCCTGAGGAGCCAGCCCCTCCTGGTCAGAGTCCTTATGTCTTACAGTGTTCTGAGGGGTCCTGGGCTCTAAGCTGATGCAGATAATTCTGAGGAAGCTCTTGGCTGCAAGTTCACCCTCTCCAGCCTTTTCAGGAGGACAAGAGCAGTTTCTATGTCCATGAATATAATTGGAAAAGTTTACTGGTCCTGGAGGGCCAACGATGCCCTCCCTGGGTCATCACGGCCAGCACAATGTGTTCCTGGTCCCTTGGGATGCCCCCAACAGCACGAGCGCCGGCAGAGATGGCGGGTGTGTATGTCAGAGGGGAGCCCTCAGTAATCATCTTTGCTATTCATTTAATGGAAAGGTGGCAGATAACTTTTTTGTTAGTGGCAATTGGGACAACTTTATAAAATAATTAATACTATGTAGCTTAGAACATCAGAAAAAATTATTCCTGACTCATTTACATCTCCCTAAAAACCTCCATTATTAAAGCAGAGGGTCTTTTGCTCCTAATTTTCGAATACACCATTTACCTGCAGTCTTTCTAACCACAAAAGGCTATGAATTCAAATACCGTCTTCATATAGAACACAAATACATACTCCTCTCATTTCTGAATGCATATAAAACAAACTCGTGTCCAAATACAAAATCCCAAATCTGACCAAGGCCAGGCAATATGCACACACACCTGCAGTCCCAGATGCACACACTTATCCCATATAACCCCCAGGTGAACCACAAAATGTATAATAAACATGCCAAAAGCTATGTAGATGGCCCAGCCCCATTGCCCCTTAAGAACACACCATTGAACTTACTTTGACAACCTGCCAAAGATTGAACTTACATTGACAACACTCAATACCAGTAGGAAGCATGAAAACAAAACCCCCTACCCCCCGTATCACACAAACACTTCCACATTCAGTTCTTCTAAGTCACTGAACATGGGTCCCATATTGCAAAAATGGAAACATCCCATGCCCAGCATCAGCTGACTTTCCAAACACCACAACTGGCATGTCCTCAGACCCAGCAATAGACCCAGTCCTCTCCCGAAATCTTGCAGTGGAGACCTACACTCCAAAGCCCAGATACACAAATGCACACTGAGTTTAATGTCCCATGAACACATGCAGAAAGACATAAAGACAGTCCCTCCGCATGCCTAGACTACTCCATGTCAGAAAATACTTCCTACATATGAATTCACCCTGGAACGTTCTCTCCACTACCTACCAGCACCGGTATACACAAAGACAAATCTTCTGCCCTCATTTCTTCATCCACGAGTGACTGTGTGTGTGCATGTGTGCATGCTTGTGTGTCAACATTTGTTGACTGGGCTACATCAAGAGACCTCTTACCCTTCTTGTTATTCCTTTTGTTACCCCTGGCCCTCTCCCACATATGGGACTTTGCCAATGTGCATTGCCACCTGAGCAGGGATGTCCCTGGGCTGAATGGTTGAGCAGGTGGCTTTCCCGTTCTGTATTTTGACTCGTGAATCATGACAGCATTGGAAGGCATAGGGAATTCTGTCTTCCTGAGGTTGGATTCAGGCTTTGGCCAGTATTGTCCTAGAGAAATTTCTACTGGTTTAAGGCATATTCGTTTGGTTTCTGTTTTTTCAATGTTCTCCTCCAACAC